TATAGGCAAATCTAAATGGCGATAGGGCTGACAGCTAGTGGGTGAAGTGGCACTCGGGCTGACAGTCCCACACTCAGTATCCACCTCTCAGACAGTTATTAGAAATGCAGATTATTAGATCTCATTCCGAACTCTGAATCAGGAACTCTGGCAAGAGGCACAGCTATCTGTCTTACAGCTAGTCCTCCAGGAGATTCTGATGTCCAAGAGAATCACCGGGTGTGCTGTTGCCACTGTCGCCGGGTGTGCTGTTGCCACTGTCGCTGGGTGTGCTGTTGCCGGGTGTACTGTTGCCGCTGTCGCTGGGTGTGCTGTTGCCGGGTGTACTGTTGCCGCTGTCGCCGGGTGTACTGTTGCTGCTGTCGCCGGGTGTACTGTTGCTGCTGTCGCAGGGTGTACTTTTGCCGCTGTCGCCAGGTGTACTGTTGCCGCTGTTGCTGGGTGTATTGTTGCCGCTGTCGGGTGTATTGTTGCCGCTGTCGCCGGGTGTATTGTTGCTGCAAGGAGCTGCATGATTTTATGTAGCTTGTGAACATAACTGCCAGAGCATATAGAAGAAATGCCCTGGTTCAGTGTTCTGCATTGATGACAATGAAAAGGGCACCAAGAAAAGTATAGGCAGAGAAATAGCTCTTGCTTGGGCAGGCCCAGTCTGGCGGGTTTAGCCTAAGGGACCTTCTTTGGAAGACTTATCCTGGCCCCTCCTCATCTCATCCTGTGTTCACAACTGTCACAGATCAGAGTCACCTGGGAAGGTTGTATGAGCACTGGATGTACTGTGGGGTCCTGTAGTTGATTGGAAACCCTAACAGGAAGGAGTGTGTCAGACATCACAAACAGATAAGCTCCCCAGAAGGTTTAGGAGTATAGAGAAAGTAGAACATCTCTGCTCATCCTTTCAGATCTGAGGAAACCAGGTGAGGTCTCAAGAGCTCCAAGGGTCAGGGTACAACATTCAAGAACCTGAGAGCATCCCAAAAGCCAGGCCCACTACTTCCTTCTCCACAACTGGAACCTATGCTATTTAGATTTAATCAATTTGACACTAGCTTGAGTCAGGAATTGCCTGTATCACATTGGTCTGTAGGCAAGTCTGTGGGCCATTCCTTGATTAAAGGTGGTGCTGCCCCAGGCAGATGTTCCTGGATGTGTAAGACAGCAGACTGAATAAGCAAAAAAACAGCACTCCTTATGCCTCTTGCTTCCTCATCTGTAAAATGGGTTTGACAGAGTCCATCTCATAGAGTTGGAGGACTGAATGAGCTAACATGTGCCAGGTTCTTAAGATAGTGTCTTCAGTGCAGTGAGCATCTACTGCGCCACTGTCTTTTGCTCTTGCCTTCAGCGTCTCTGCAGGCTGAGATGGTCTAGGCTGAGTCAAGCTTGTCTTAGAGAGTAACTAGGGTAGTGCATTAACACTTCTTCATAGCATTTGTATTAATTATATAGTCTTTTCTCTGCTTACATTTCCTCCCCAACCATGTCCTAAGGGCATGGAAATGGCAGCAGTTCCATCTTGACTTAGGCTGTTCAAAGATGCCTCTGAGGATCTATTTTTGTGTGTGTGTGTGTGTGTGTGTGTGTGTGTGTGTGTGTGTGTGTGTGTGTGTTTTTTCCATAAATCAGGGCGGGGGTGTGCTGTGCACTGGGTGGGGAGAACCTGCTCTCTGACAGGTCCCACTGTTCTTGATTTTCACTGCAGAATGTTCTAGAAAACAAAGCCTGTTTCTGCTTCTCGAATTCTTCCTTTGCTGGGGTGGACAGCTCCAGTAGCTGAAGGAAACCAGCCTGCTTTTGCTAGTGCTGTGCTCTCCCAGCGGCTAACAAAGGTGGTGAGTGTAGGTGGACACCCAGCACCTTCACAGGGCAGCTCGTGTACACGCATCTGCTATAATGGCCCAAGAGGCTGACATGTCCTTTGAGGAGCAGAGACATCCTTGAACCTGAGCTCATCAACACCCCACAATCTCCATTTGTTTTCTGAAGTCATGGAATTTTCTCCAGTGCCGCTGTGCTCCAGGAGCTCTGGGCCTCTTGCATGTGACCCTCCCACCACCCAATGTCAACCTGATTCATCACTTATAAAAGGCACAGTTCGTTCAAGAGATCACACCCCAGATAGACCCAGGAAGACACACAAAATAGAATAGACTGTAGTTTTTCTAACGGGACACCAAATGCTGTGATGGCTGGGGTGATGTCTTGGGGGAACAAGGAGAGTTTGGAGAAGGGGGTTCCTGGAGAGGAAGCATTTGTAAGCAGAGCACAAATTGGAACTTCAGAGCAGATTTCAAAATGGAAGCAGACATGCAAGGAGGGAGTGGTAAGTGGGAGCCTTGAAAGCTAGAACCTGTGTCTTCACTCACACTGTGTGTAAACATCTCACCACTCTTTGCTATGGTAAAGGGGTAGGGGTGTCTGTCAAGTAGGGACAGTGGTTGGAGGTATCCTTAGCTTGGGGGCAGAGGACATACAGTAGCAGCAGGGAAACCCACTCGGGATGGAGCGCACTTCATTTTTATCTCAGATGTGGGGTGTGGAGTCTGTTCCTGCTAGACAGGTGAGAACATAGGCTTAGGTCGTTGTCCTTCATGAAGTCACTAGGCATTGCTAGCTGTGACTGAGATCTATCAGGCTCCAATGGCCCTAGCCTTTTCCTTCTCACCTGGAGGACTCTGATGCCTTTGGCTTAGGACATGTCTGCAGTCATTGTTTGTGTCTGGTAGTTTCTGGGTGCACTCAGGCATGTGATCTGGTTTGAAACCATCTTGGTCCATGTCAGCCTCTGAAACAAGATGATGCTGTAGACTGGATGCCCAAGCAGCTGACCTTTGGCTCTCACAGTTCTGGATACTGTGCCATTCAAGTCAAGGAGCCAGCACCACATAGCACTGAGTGGACACCTGCCCTGTCTCCAAGGCACTAATGTCATTGTTGGCTCAGTGCCCAGAGTCCAGTCCACTGGGGATTGAGGCTGTAGCACAGGAACCGTAGGGCCAGACATTCATGCAAACAGTCGGCTCCACAGAGACCCCACAACAGTGTTTCCTTCTTCTGCTTTCTGCCTGTGTTCCCTTGGACAAAACTTTTATCTGCCTTACCCATCAGGAATGGGTGCGTGCTGGCAGGAATGTCCCCACGACTTCTTGGGCTGTGGGCCTGGGTCTGGCTTCTTTCCAAGCAGTCTCGACTCCTGTCCCCTACCCAGCTCTGTTGTCTTGTTTAAGGCACTTGTATTTGACTACAGCGTCTCTGCCCTCACAGCACACACATGTATCCCCTCACCCCCATGACAAACTGCCTGAGATTCAGAGTGCCTCAGAAAACTTCGTGAAAGTCCCTTACTCAGTGCTGAGATATGAGGTCATTCACAAGGGCATTCGATGACAGTTGGAGCCGGAGCCTGAGCCCAGTGATTAAAACCCAGCCACTTTCCTCTGTCTGAGGCACTGTGGACATCTTATCGAAGGATGGAGGTTAGGTAGCACATGGTAAGAGGAGAAAGGTCAGTCCTTTGTCTCATCTCTGACCTTGCCTTTTCTTGTGAAAGGTTTTTTATAGCCTAGTGCTTGGGAGTAACTTTGTCCTTTAATTAAGAATTCTAATTTTAAAGCAAGCTCTGGCCTCTTTCTTTCCAGACTCATTCTACTGCTTTGATTGGGTTTCACGGCTAGGAATTAAGATCCTTATTTTGTGTGTTGTTTTCTCCATGGTCAGTTATCTGGCAGACTGGTGCTTTATTGAGAAGATAAACATGCCTATCCCACTAGAATATCAATAAAGGCAGCGGGTTCTTACTGAGATGCTAAGCTGGATGTAAGGCGGCCCCCATAAGCCCCCTTTCCTCACATGCCATAGGCACTTGAACTTTTCTAGATAGTGAATCCCGAGGGAAACTGGAGTGTGTCCTAGGAGGCTAGAGAGGTAGGAGTTTGACAAGGTCAGTTTTCCAGACAGAAGCTAATTAATATACACCCAGAAAAGTGCACTTTCTTTTGGGTATTACACACCTTGGTCATCCACAAACTGAGAAGCCCATCTCAGTGCAGTCTGTAGGGAACACTGGGTGGTCAGTAGGAAACCTTAACAGAATGTTGGAGCAAAACCCAACAACAAACAAAATCAGCAAGAAGAAAAGTTAAATGATACTTTGTTGCTTAATGTTCCTGAGATGTTTGAAACAATAATCTGGATTTTTTTTTCCTTTTTTTTTTTTTTTTTTTTTTTTTTTGCTTTGTTGTTTTGCAAGACAGGATTTCTCTGTGTAGCCATGGCTGTCCTGGAACTCACTCTGTGGATCAGGCTAGCCTCCACTCCCAGAGATCACCTGCCTCTGCCTCCCACGTGCTGGGATTAAAGGCCTGTGCCACCAACACCTGGCATGTGTATCATAATATACTATATTTTCATACTTTTAAAATCTGTTTTTAAAAGGAAACAGGGCCTTTCCACCTCCGCTTGGCTATGGCTTTTAACTTTATGGAGTTATTGACTAGATCTTCAGGAGCGGATGGCTTTGATATTTGTTTGTCTCCTGTCCATGGTCCTGCCAGATTTGTTATCACAGCCCTTCATGGTATTAGCATGGGAAGACGAGAAGTCCCACATCCTGTCACTTAAGAGAAGGACTTAAAAATTGTACCCAGGGGAAAATCTTTGCTTTTTAACCCATTATTAGTGTTCTGAGACAGGGTCTCACGATAGCCTCGGCTGGCCTGGAACTCAGAGACCCATCTCCTTTTCTGAGATTAAAGGCAGAGACGCACCACTCCCAGCTGAACACTTTTGGGGAGGGGCAGTTACAATACCAATGGCCAATGTTAACCAAGGCAACTTGAATTCTGAACAAATGCATTGTGAATCCCTGCCAGAGCAAACAGACAGCTGGGGTTAGTTAGGAACAGGGGTGTTCTTAAAAGCTGGTGTGTCCTCTTGGCTTTTGTGTCCTGCCCCCGTGGTGTATCTAGTTCTGAAACCAGTTATCTCCTTTGCATTAACAGCATGGCCGGACCCCCTTGCACCTTGCTGCCAATAAGGGTCATCTATCTGTGGTCCAGATTCTGCTGAAGGCTGGCTGTGACCTCGATGTGCAGGATGATGTAAGTAGAAGCAAGCATCATTCCCTCCAAAGAAGGTTGGCAGGGGAGCAGTCCTCAGTGCAGATGCTGGCAGTGTGAGAAGGGAGGGGACTGAATGTTGCCAGAATGGTTTTTGGCTCTAGCCTGGTCCCTGTTCTGGCAAAAATGTTCTTAGTGTTAGTTACCTTCTGGGAGACCCATTCTCAGTGGTACTAGCTTGCTGGAAGCTCTTCAACTGTGGTTCTCAATATCACCCCATTAGCATCTGAGTGCAGAGTCTCTGAGGGCAGTCATCTTACAAGACCTCTTTTAGTACACTCTGGCAGTGAGTATGGGAAAGACCCATTGGATGCATGTGTCACCAACCAAATTTACTGCTAAAGAAAAACGAGGCAAACCCACCACACACACACACACACACACACACACACACACACACACACACACAGTATCTTAATTTCTGTTAGTTACATTTAGTTGGAAGTTCCAGTCCAACTAAAATGGGTAAAAAGGGACTTATGAAAAAACAAGGCCTCTTGCAAGAATTCCCTGGTAGTTCTATGCAATTGAGATGTGACTCCCATCCACTCACTGAGATGTCCATCCAGATTTCTGGGAGAGACTCCCACTGGCTCCTTTAGCAACATCTGTCCAGTCAGAGTCTATTGGCCAAGTGGGACTATACAGCACAGATCCTTGGTCTCTAGGGTCTTTGGAGAAGGTGGGGGGGGGTCTCTGAGGAATGATGTTATAAATTGTCCTCCAGTGAGTTATTAGGAAAAAGCCCTATGGCAATGTGATTGGGAACTATTTTCAGAAGCTGTTTCAACTCTTTTTATTTTTTTATTTTCTCTCGGGTGCTTCCGTGTATATCTGTGCATGCCTGGTACCTGCAGAAATCAGAATAGGCCATCAGATCCCCTGGAAATGGAGTTACAGATGGTTGTGAATTACCATGTGAGTGCTGGGAATCAAACTCAGGTCCTTTGAAAGAACAACCATTTTTCTTAACCACTGAGCCAGCTCTCCAGCATCCCCTCCCCCTTCATCTCCCTTCATCTCTCAATGATACGATACAATTCTAAGAAATAAAAGCCATGTGAGTAAACAGCATCTTACAGAGTCTGGACTTATAATCCTTTCTTCCAGTTGTCCTTGCAACCCTGTACAATATCCTAAAATTTGAGAAACACATTCACAAATGACTTGGCTACATTTCACAAATGACTTGGCTAACCTTGGACACATGAGACCTTGTCTGTGCAGGCTAGCCTTGAACACATGAGACCCCTGTCTGAGCAGGCAGGCAGGCAGGCAGGCACATGGACTAGTTTTATGCATGGGCAGAGGGCTATCAGCATCTCATATAAATCTATGATTGTATCTGAAGCCTACGGGGTCACTTACTCTCAAAAGTGCTGATTTAGCCTTAAACTGTTGATTCTCACCTTGGTCATAATACTTTATTTTCTACACTATAACCAGTATAACATTCCTGAACCATATCCTCTCCTTAGAGGACAGGGGGGAAGTACAGGGAGAGGGAAGGTGGGATCTCCAGTTGCTGGCACAAGCATGTTGGGATAATCTAGTCTTCTCTTTGATAATTAAAGTTCTTGCTTGCCACCGTGGCAAGGTTGCAATGCCAGGCACACCAACCAATGCCAACCAAACACCCAACTCAGGTCCTAAGCCTGAGCTTTGCTGTGGTCTCATGTAGCAGACACTATGCTGATGTTTCAGATATGAAAGGAAGCAGAGAAGGCAAGAATTCTCCCGGCACACGAAGCCCTGGTGAGCCAGGGCAGAAGGAAAGCCAGCCCCGTGTTTAGGTAAAACACGTCTCTCATTTGAATCATTGGGTCTTTTACATCCTTTCCTGCTCTGCACAGACAATGCATACCCTGCTTCTCCATATAACAATACAACACTCGACCGTGTAACAACAGATAGTGTGAAAACTGGAGAAGGCGGGTCTGATGCCACATTCAGCTGTTTCCTGTGTACTTACCATGCCTGTTGAAATCAGTTTTGAGATGTCCACAGAAATGCAAACAAATTGTTTTATTATCATTAAAAAAGAGGGGAACTTACCTATGGGGGCGTCACTTTAGAAGTGATGGGTAGAATGTATGCTTTGCAAGGATTCACTTCTAACTTCATATTCTGCAGATACTGATGTTTATGGCATGGTAATATCTGAGAATTAGAGGAAGAATGACCTCCAGTGGCCTGGAGTGGGATTATTATGAGTTCCAACCTACAGCTCCCGGAGCAAAATCTATCTTGTTTCCCGCTAATCCTATCAACTCTCAGTGGAGCTCAAATGCCATCTCTAATTGGTCAATGAGTAATCACATGACTCCTACCCCAGAAATAGTCCAGGACCCTATGGCCACAGTTAAAAGCATGAAGGAAGACAAAAATAAGAGACAACAGAGAAGAAAGGCTAGGAAGGACCCCAGAAGACCTGAGAGAGAAGAGGTCAGCACCTTGCTTTGCATACCTACCTGGTGGAGGGTTTGCTTACAACAGAGTGTTTGCTTGGGTCCCTGGGGGCTTCCTCCCAAAGTGGGTGTACTCCGCCCTTGCACGACTGGGGCTTCTTCCATGAGCTCGGCTTTGAAACACCCAATGCTTTTCACTACATAGGAGGTGGAAATATAAGTGTTTTAGAACAAATATTTAGACCTCGGCTTGCAACGCTCTGGAGTGAGAAATACTGATGTCTCAGGAGTGTCAAGTGCTGGCAGTCCATATTGTTTGCGAGCAGGTCAGCACATAAAATCAGAATGTCAACTGCAGTGTTGCTGTGGCTTTTAGTTTCTTCCTTTGCTTCTTCTCAGTTAACCATTCAACAAATAGTTGAATGGCTTAGAGTGGCTTAGAGACTGGCCTTGATGCTGCATTCTGTGCTTGCATAGTGAGGCAGCCCCCACCCCCACAGAGACCCCGTCTCATTTTGGAGGCCAATGCTGAGGTTAACTGGGTTGGAAAGCTGGAGCCTTGACAGTTTGAATTATTTAGCTCTCCTAGGTGAGCTTTATCAAGACAACAAGAGAATTACATGGTGTGACTCCTGGCACATAGAGATCAATAAATACCGAGTGAATATTGAGAAAACTCTTCTGCATATTCTTTTTGGTTCCAGAATTTTCCTGGTTGATTCAGGTCCTATTCAAACAGGGTTTTTTCAGAACTGCTCCATGAGTCTGCTAGTAGGTCAAGCATTGTATTATGTTTTGAAGAGGGCATGTAGCTACTAGTAATATATGTATAACATAATAATATATGCTAATAATATATTAGTAGTTTTAATTTTTTAGGAGTCAAAAATTGGTTCTCAAGTAACTGAATATACTACAACTGAGGGTCTGGATTTTACTGTGTTGTGTGTTCTGGGGAGAAAATAGTTCCATGATGGCTGGAGGGAGTTCTTTGTACCATGTTTTGTCTTTCCTAGAACCTTTCATTCTCATCCTAGTAACCTAAGATGGCCTAACTTGTAAGAGTTGGAGGAAGTGTCCACTGGAACCGGTCTAGCCACTGTGAGCAGTGCTGTTTGTCCTGCCATGGAGAGCAGGGCCTAGTGTCATTACACAGCTGTAATTGACACGGGAAGAAGGAGCTGAGTTCTCAGTGGGGACCTGCCTACAGACAAGACTGCAACTGATTGGACCAGTGGGCTTGGGGCAGCTTGGCTTCTTGCTGCAGCTGCACACAAGTGTCAGATCTCCTTGACTCTTGACAATCCATTTGAAAATGCCCCGCCAAGAACCAATCTGAGAGTTAGGTTTAGCTGCTTGCATCAAATCTCACAAAGAAAAGTTATCTCAAAGGAAGCAAATAGGCTCCATGGGTGAGCAAAGGCATAATTAAACAGTGGTGCCGTACTGGCCCAAAGCCACTCAAGCAGCTTATGGAACAAGGTGAAATGTTTGCCCTGAACCAAGCCCTTCATATGATCCTTTGGCAAGACCTGTATGCTTGGGGCATGTTGCCTGCACCTTACACAGAATGCAAGTCTCTTCTAAAAAGTTTGCTCCAATTGCCCCCAAGGAATGCTTAGCAGAATGCCTGTCATTTGCGGAGTGGTTAAATGGCCTTAGAACATGGGATTTTTAATCCCAGGGTCATGGGTTCAAGCTCCACATTGGGCATCAAAATGTAAATGGAGGTCTTAATTGGTGTGGATAATAAAAACCTGGAGTCAGATATTAAGGGAAATGCTGAGAGAAGGAGCAAGCTACAAATATATCCTTACTTCCTTAGCGTCTTAGCAGACCAGAGAGTGAGTTCCTGTTTCTACCCAGCTACCTCACTTCCCATCTGTCTGTACGGATCTTCAGACCTCTATAGTTAGCTCATGGCAAGCTATATTCTCTGACCTTGAGACAGGCTTTATTTGTACAACCAAGATATCACATCTCTTATAGGGAACCTGACTCAGTACTGAACTCATGTTTCTTGTCAAGAACAATCTTTCTCATGACCATTTTGGATAAGCCCATGACTAATCTTATGGGGAAATAAGATGTCTTAGAAATTCTAATGGACTTTTTAAAAGCCAAAGCTCAGGTATTATCCTATCTGATGCGTTGAGCATTATTCTACCAGGAAAGCCTTCTCACATGTCTGGCCTAGCTCATCTCCTATAGCCACTTTTAGTGCCACATTCTTCTTTGGAACACAAAGCACATGAAAATGGCCCTCTCCAAGTAGGGTACCAGGAGGTGAACAGGAAGAAAATTGTCCAAACTTGTGATATGTCAAGAAAGTTATGACAGCAGTACCAGTCACACTGTAGTCATGGGAATGGGGCTGGACGTCCTCACCCCAGCACTGTGCAAGCCCTTAGATAATCAAGTGAACTGTGAGAAAAGCTTGCTAAACAGGAATCCTGTTCTTGGTGCCTTCTTATGGCTTAAACTAGTAATTGGTAGTAGTTTTGTCTGATATGTGAAGTTATATGTGTTAAATATATAAAAAAGTTGCCAAGTACTTTGACCAGTTCTGTGCTGAGGTCACCAATGGCCACTGCAAAAAGAAGCTTCTGGACAGACCGTGGTGGCGCATACCTTTAATCCCAGCACTTGGGAGGCAGAGACAGACAGATGTCTGTGAGCTTGAGGCCAGCCTGGTCTACAGAGTGAGTTCCAAGACAGCCAGAGCTGTTACACAGAGAAATCACCTCACCACCACCATCAAAAAGCAGCTTATCCAACTAAAGCAGTCACCAGCACTATTCTATAGGCACAAACAGTGCATTTAGAAGGCGATTTGAGAGGCACATCATATCCATGCAGACAACAGTCATAGCTTCCCCACTTAGAGCCTGTGACCTCCCTAACCACAGGTCCCTGACTAAGTTTCTACTACCGGATGTGAATGCTGTCTGAATGCTCTCCTGTGGAATAGGCGGGTGGTTGCCTGCCCCCATCTTAGTTAGTTTTCTATTGCTGTGATAACACCCTGACCAAGGCAACTTACAAAGAATGTGTTTAATTGGGCTTATGGTTTCAGAGGGTTGGAGTCCATGATGACATGGCAGCCAAGAGCTCACATCCTGATCCTCAAGCAGGAGGCAGAGAGAGAACACACTGGGAATAGTCCTAGTGTTTTGAGAATTTAAAACCCAGCCCCAGTGAAACACCTCATCTGACAAGGTCACTCAGCTGTCCCCAGACAGGTCTGCCAACTGAGGATCAGGTATGCAAACATGTGCCTATGTGGGGGACGTATCATTTAACCACCACACCCCATACCAGAACTGTCACTGCTGTGCCAGCGGGCTCAGCTTGCCTTGGGTAGTGTTCTTGCACACTGGTCTAAGCTGTGTAGAACTATTAATGACAGCTCTCCACGAGCAACCTAAGAGCATTAAAAAAAAAAAAAAAAAAAAAAAAAAAAAAAAAAGGAAGAAATTAAAAGTCACTTCTTGTGATTTAAAAGTTTCTAAAAACTATTTTATGTGCATGAGTATTTTGCCTTCATGTAAGTATGTGTACTACGCGCAGGCCTGGTGCTCATGGAAGCCAGAAGAGGGCATCAGGTCCTTGAGAACTGGAGTTAGAGACAGTTGTGAGCAGCCATGTGAGTGCTGGGAACTGAACCCAGGTCATCTGCAAGAGCAACAAGTACTCTGAGCCATCTCTCCAGCCCCCTCCTCTTGGATTTTAAAAGAGAGACTTTTTTTTTTTTAAGCTTAAGAAAAACAGGTGAGTTTTTTGTTGTTTGCTTGCTTGCTTTTGGTTTGGTTTTTTGTTTGTTTGAGGTTATTTTGTTTTGTTTTGGAAATGCAGTCTCACTGTGTAGCTCAGTCTGGCCTTAACCACACGATCCACCACCTGCCTTTGCTCCCAGTGTTGAGATTACAGATGTCTGCCAGTGTTTGTGTGTACATGTGTGTTTTGGCTAGGACTGAGTGGCTTTTCTCTTGTGATAGAGCACACACACACACACACACACACACACACACACACACACACACACGAAACACTGGTGTGATTCCTGGCACACCAGTCACCATGGTCTATTTCCAGAGCTTTGCTCTTGGATTGCTGTATTTAATGTGTCTCTCTGTGATGAGTCTCAGTGAGGTCAGGGTTTCTTTCAGGCTACCAGAGTTAGTGTTCTTTGCCATCTATCTTCCACAGTGTTCCTCACCCTGCCTCTCTTGGAGTGTGGTCCTTGCCTCTATGTGTATCTGGAAATTTTACTACTGTAAATCTTACCAGCTGAATCATAGAATCCCAAAGGGAAGAGAACCCTGGCCCTGCTTTTTCCTGTGAGGGTCCTGAGGCTCAGCAGGCTCTATACCAGAGCTGTACACAGAGCGGTTCTCCTCATCCCCTGGCCCTTCACTCATTATTTCCACCTGGAAACATCCACACTGTTCACCCATCTCCACTGTCAAGCCTGGACCTCAGACTTAACTTGATTTGACTCCTGAGTTCGTGCTGGAGATAAACTGTGTTCCTAGAAGCACAGAGCTCAGAGCCCTCTCGTCACTTGTCACCTCCTTCTCACCTCTGGGCTGTCTATACATCCTCTCTGCCACAGTTGGGGAAAGAGTCAAGTTTTCTTTTGGTGCCTGAAGGAGAAAACCTGTCAACCCCAGGAATGTGGTTGCTGGGAAAGGGAAAGGATTAGGATGCAGCATCAATCAGCAAGAGGTATCTCAGAAATATGCGGTGAGAGGCTGCAGTCCTGGGGCCTCACATCCCTTTATTGCTCTCGGCTAGTGCAAATCAGTGAACAAATTACACACCTGTCATCAAAGCATGAGGCCCTCAAACTGCCACGACTGGAGAATGATTCCTCTATAATCTGGGCCTGGGGACCTAGTGGGGAGTAAGGATTGCAGGACTTACTGGTTGAACTGTTTGATATACACAGCCTGGCTCCCAGACGTGCCTCCACTGGGTAGGTCTGAGGCTAACAGCTATTCTTGCTATTGACGTAAGATCCCTTCCAGTTTATGAATCAAATTGCTCTGCCTGTGTACACTCTCTACTAATAGAACCCCAAAGCTTGCCCTGGCTGTGGTGACCAAGCCCTTCTGCAAGTAACCAGTCTCCTTGCGGGGGTAGAAGACCCCCTGGTGTCTTAAGGAAGAACAGATATCCAGCCACTAGAGAGACCTGTGTTCTTCTCCTTCACTTCCTAGGGGGACCAGACAGCTTTGCACCGGGCCACTGTGGTGGGAAACATTGAGGTCATCACAGCGCTTATCCGAGAGGGATGTGCCCTGGACAGACAGGACAAGGTGAGAGGGATGGTAAGGCCTGCAGGACACTGGGGAGCTAAGGAGCCAGCGTGACTCACTGCGATATGCTCACAATGTTGTCTTTCTTCTGCCACGCAATGAGAGGTCAGTGAGAGAGGTCAACCCAGATTTCTCTGAAAGGTCAGGGTCCCAGCAGTTGTGTTTGTTTACAAGCCCTTCCCACTGTTCTGTGACTCTGTGCTAACAGCTTTAGTCCAGGTCAGTGTACAGGTTTGTGAAAACGGGGCATTGGCGGCACACGCCTTTAATCCCAGCACTTAGGAGGCAGAGGCTGTGTGTTGGAGGCCAGACTGGTCTATAGAGTTCCAGAACAGCCTCCAAAGTTACAGAGAAACCCCATCTCATAAAACAGAAAAACAACAGACACACACACACACACAAAAAAAAATAAGTCTGTGAAAGTCCACTGAAGGTAGAGAGAAGGCAGCCTCAGAGGCTGTTTCTTAAATGCTCAAGCAAGTTAAACAGCGAACCGAATAATTTCTTTCCTCACAGAATCCTAATGATGCATGTGTACTAACCGGATGTTTTTAAACTGTCAAATCTTAAAATGTAGGACTTTGTATTTAAGTGCAGAAATGGCCTCTGTGTCCTTTTTCCCCTCACAGCTTTTCATTAAAGTATAATGTGTGTGCAGAAAAGTGCACAGACGGTGAGTGCACATGACGTTCCTCAGCCCATCCGAAGGCTCCAGATCAGGAGTGGTACATGTGCAGCCCAGATCCCTTCTCCGTCTTCCTGCTTCTCGCTGCTCAGTCCCAGCTGAGCCTTGTAGCCCCTTGTCCTTCCCAGTTTTGTGTCTGGAACTCTGGCTGTCCTCATGTGGGTGCCAGGTGTATTGGGACACATCTCCTGCCCTGAGCATGCTTACATGTGTGTCCTGACCTGCATGTTTAAATTCTTCTCTCATAGTTTATATTTAAAAGCCATGTATCTAGAAATCTTGTTTGGCTTCTTCACTGGTCATTTAGAATCCTGTGGGTTTTATACTAAACTAGAGACCACTAATTTTGCTGAAGAGATGGGTATGGCCTTAATCTTTGTGTGTGTGTGTTTTTTGTTTTGTTTTTTGTTTGTTTGTTTGTTTGTTTGTTTTTAGACAGGGTTTCTTTGTGTAACCTTGACTGTTCTGGAACTCACTCTATAGACCAGGCTGGCTTTGAACTCACAGAGATCAGCCTGCATCTGCCTCCTTAGTGCTGGGATTAAAGGCACTAGGATTAAAAACTCTGAGCCACCACTGCCCAGCCATGTGCCTCTCACAGGATCTCTAGATTTGAGGCCAGTCTAGTCTTCATGTGGAGTTTTAGGCCAGTCAGGGCTAAATAATGCTCTCTTAAATAGATAATAAAAGTTTGGGGTGAAGAAATGGGGTTGGTGGGATCGATCCTCTACCTACTAGGCTCCTGGGCCTTATAAGGAGCATTTGCAGGGCTTCTTCTGGCATCAGGAACGTGGTGGAGCTTAGGGGACAGTGGAGATGGGAAGGAACAACACTGGGTCGTCCCAAGCGTATTGTTTCTGTAGACAAGCTGTGGGAGGCCTTAGAGCCTTTCTGGATGGCACACTTCCAAGCAGACTTAGACTCTGACCCAGGCACCCACTCTGTGTGTCCTGAATAGCTCTTGTGCTCTGCTGTTACCAGGAGAATGGAGAGACTGGCCACTCAGATGTTTCTGTGCTCTGTGGTTCCAATGGGCCCCACTGAGAAAGGCCCTGTAGCCACCAACATGTGTTGTTTTATTGAGACGAGCTAGACCCTGGGTAATGTGCTGTCTTCTAATGTGTTTACTCAGGATGGGAATACAGCCCTCCATGAAGCCGCCTGGCATGGGTTCAGCCAGTCAGCCAAGCTGCTTGTTAAAGCGGGAGCCAACGTGCTTGCCAGGAACAAGGTGAGGCCCAGCAGCTGACCTCCTCCATCACAGATGAGGGACGTGGGAATCTTTGTCCTGGTGTGTCTCCCGTCTATGAGAAGATGAGCCTGGCAGAGCTCATTGGGGCATGGAGAACCCTGCAGGGCAGGCTCGCCTAGAAGGCTCACTGCAGAGGTAGGAGGGCTGGTGCCCCAGGCAGGGTAAGTGTGTGACAGTGCTGAGACCCTGCTAGTGTGATCCACCCCTGGCTGCTGCTGGGAACCTGTCCTCATCATTTGACCCTATTACAAAAGGACAGCTTGGGCATGGAAAACGTAGGTAGACAATCAAAATGCTGGCAGTCACTAGCAGCATGGTAGGGTAAAAATGGGCTGGGCATGGAATTGGAGCAGCTAGCTGCCTTTGGGAGGCAAACTGTACAACAAAAATGATTCTGTAGGATTTGGGATATTGCTCAGGGTAAAATACTTGCCTCTCCTGCACAAGGTTCCCAAGTCAATCCCTGGCGTCACCTAAAAGGAAAAGACGTTCTTACCTATTTGTATCATAGCTACCATGCCATATTTCAGTTCTTAAAGCAGAGAAGTATCTAGGAAAACTTTATCCTTAAGTATATCTATGATAGCAATAAGTAAAGCAGTGAAAAAATGCAGGAGAGGAATATAAAGTTATTCACTCAGCATAAGCACAATTAATATAATGTTAATATAATGTAAGTCACAGTTTCAATGACGGTGTTATGAGTCATGAAAGATCATGACAGAGGACTACATTTCAGACATACATGCTCAGTACTAATGTGAATTTACATTTTGTAAAAATTAAGCCTGGAAAGGTATCACTGGAATATTAACTGTGGCTATCTACTTGAATTTAGACTTACTAATTTTTGGTGTTGCTTTTACTTTTGTCCCTTTCCTTTTCTTGATCCAAGTAATTTCCCACATCACTGATATTTCTCAGTGGCAAACTTTGGTATGCTCCCATTGGATTTCTTTTATTTCACTCAAATTTTCAACACATATCTAACCACTGCCCTGAAGCCAGCAGCTCAGAGATCAAGAGTGTTTAGACAGAAGTAGATGCTTTGCTGGGAACGCTAAGTTTGCCATGTTCTTGGCACACACACACACACACACACACACACACACACACACACACACACAAACAAGTCAGCTTAAGTCACTCTTGATTATCAGAGAGATTTCTCAGACGTGGACTGCTAGGTGGGGCTTCACCCCTCAGGCTGAGGAAACAAGAGTCCAGAACAGGGCCACAGCCCTGCACCCAGGAGCTTCTGGTGTGCAACGAGGGTGGCAGGCAGGGTTGAGGCAGTCTACCTCACCAGGCCACTGGCTTGCCTTCCTCCTCATCCCTGGTGATAATGCCCAACAAGGCCGATGAGAGCCACGGTTATGAGAAGTGAGTGCGCTGATGATAGTTTAATGTATTTGCCTGTTACCTGCTCCAAATGCTGTAGTATTTTTCAAAAAGAATATAATATCTGGACTTCTCCTGACAGGGCCGTGAGGTCTAGAGGAAGGGAAGTGAGGGGAGGGATGCACAAAGCTGTGGGCAGATGTGACTGCGCTGTTAAGGTCAGCAGGACAAAGCTCCAAGCCAGCATTTGACCAACGTGTGCTCAGGATATCTTACCTGCTTTTCCCATTAAATAATGAGAAAATGCTTTTTCTAATGTTATCAGTAACTGTTCCCCTAGAATCAAAGAGATCTCTTCACATGATGGCATTTGCAAAATTATTGTGGACATTTTTCTGAGGAGGTGCTTAAGTATGATAAGCATCAGTATTGCCTCTTAGGTCAACATTTTTCCACAGTTCAAGTGTTTATGTTTTAAAATATAGAAGAATGAGTATCTCAATGCAGGTCAACAAGTCATGTGTTAGCTTTCCCCACCCCCTCCCAGAAGTGTCTGAGCCCAACTACTGCCTATGCTAGACAGGGTTTAGAGCTGCACCCATGCTTGTGGTCCAGGAAACACAAGGACCAATGATTCATGCTCAGGGCCTCAGGAGGGAGGGCTTGAGCTCCAGTTCTGGTCAAGAAGTCAACCAAAGCATGGGAAATGCTTTTCTGCGTGGCTTTAACTCATGAGGAGCAGAGGCGGGGCTCAGAGCTAAAGCTTGGGGACAGAGAGGACTCCACAGCCATTTGAACTCTACATTCATGGTTCTTAGATCTGAAACACCGGCTGGGATTCCTATATGGTGTGTAATATGACAATGGCTGGCCTCTTCCTGAGTAAGAACCCGTGTGCATGGCTGGTCTGTGCAAGTGTATGTGGCTAATACGTCCCTTCCTTCTGTCCTCTCTTCCAGGCAGGGAACACGGCTCTGCACCTGGCCTGCCAGAACAGTCGCTCCCAGAGCACGCGTGTCCTCCTGCTGGGTGGCTCCCGGGCTGACCTCAAAAATAACGTGGGTGAAAGTACCAGTTTCTCCCGGGTGCTCTCTGTTGTATTACCTTGGAAAAGAAACCCCAAAGCAGAGTCAGTGTTAATATCTAGAAACTAAAGTGTCAGAGTGTTCGGGACCTAATCTCTAAACTCAATTTTTGCTAATTTTCTAAAGGGTCATTTAGGGGGAAAAAAATGCTGCATTCTACATTTGGGCCTCAAGTTTATCATTTCTGTGCCTGTCAGGACTCTAGAAAACACATGTGGGTTGTGAGCCCTTTGGCAAACCTCTATATCCAAACATATTTACATAACTACTCATGACAGTAGCAAAATTACAGTTATGAAGTAGCAACAAAAATAATTTTATGGTTGGGGGCCACCACAATATGAGGAACTGAATTAAAGGGTCACAGCGTTCAGAAGATTGGGAACAACTGTTTTTAATGCTTTAAGGACATCTACCCAGGAGAGTGTTGTACTGCTGCTGTCTGGGACAGTACCAGGCAGCGCTGTCCTGTGACACTCAGTACCTAGCCTCTTCCAAGGGCAGCTGTTGATAACTGCAGTGTCCTTCCCACAAGCAGCAGGATAGTGATTGTAGAAGAATAAGTCACTAAAAGACCTTCCTCCTGTGTTTCTGAGGAGACCCTATGGCTTAAGCTTTTCTCAGAAATTGCCAATATCTCCTCATTTTGGGAAGACTTACAATATATAACACAGTTCTAGAATTCACTGTCCTGAGTGGCCATGATCATCTAGACAGATGGAAAACACCAGTGGGTGGTCTATCTCTGTGCTATCACAGGCAGTGGAGTCTGGCCTTGCCCACTAAGAAGGATTCTGAGATTTTTCTGATTCATCAGCTCCCTAGGCTGTATTGTTCCATGGAGGATTTTAGCATCCTTCCGGCTGCTAAAGGTCTCTGCTGGGAAACTCATTCCAAAGCAACATTGTCAGTCTAACTGTTTTTTCCAAACACTGTTGTAGGGGTGGCCAGGGTCTGTGGAGCCTGTCGCCCACATTAGCTGTTCCACAGTGCTCATGAAGAGCAGTATCTAGTTTTATAGACACAAAGCAAAGCCAAACACAGGGTCTTGGGATTGGAGCAGCTATGTTAAGGGGGTGCCCGGCTTATAGGTCAGGCCTACACTCCCTACAGCACAGGCAGTTGCTCTTAAGGGATGGCCTTTTTTGTTGTTAGGTGTTGTAACTGCTGATGGTGCTGAGACTTTGTTTCTGTCCACAGGCAGGAGACACCTGTTTGCACGTGGCTGCGAGGTATAATCACCTGTCCATCATTAAACTCCTCCTCAGCGCATTCTGCTCTGTTCATGAAAAGAACCAGGTCAGTGCACATACCTCCTCATGGGCGCAGGTCCTGTCCCAACAAGGGAAGGGCAGCCTAACAGGTATGGATAGGGTAGAGGCTGCTGGGAGATGCTGCCCTCAGTTCGTCGGGGACTCTACCAGCACTGTTCCATACAGGTGTCTCATTGTCACAATGGCTTCTCCATCCTTGGACACATATCCATTCCTGTGCTTATCCGTTCTTATCCCCACAGTTACAGAGTGGACCATGACTTTTGATTATACTATGACTTTTATCAAGAAAGCCTACAAAAAGGAGTGTGGTATAGAAAAGAAGCAAGGGCGGGTAGTGGGGGTGGGGGACTGCAGAGATGGCTCAGCAGTTAAGAGCACTGGCTGCTCTTCCAAAGGACCTGGGTTCAATTCTCAGCACCTACATGGCAGCTTACAACTATCCGTACCCCCTGTTTCAGAGGATCCAACACCCTCACACAGACATACATGCAGACAAAACACCAGTGTACATAAAATAAAAATGAATAGATTAAACGAGGAAGAAGAAAGGAAGCACGCGGAATAGGTGTCTGGTGAATTCTGCGGTTGCAGTCCCCGCACTCACTCCTGTGGCTGCCTCTCCTGTTTCTGTTTGCCTTATGTGGGGAACTGGGTGCGTACACCTGGAATTAAACTTAGATTGTGGGAGCAGATTAAACATACCCTATAAACAGTGGCTTCTACCCTGTCTGGCTGCTTATGAGAGCCATCGGGGACAGTAAGATGCCGCTCTGGGTCCCACCGCATGTAAAATCGTCAGAACTCTCTGTGCTGTAGGTTCAGCGGAATACTGTCACAACTCTCCCTCCTGAAGGTATGTCAGGTTAAGAACCATTAACTAACCAGAAGCCACATCCCCCCCCCCCAGTAGCTTCCAGGGCAGAGGCTACCCACCTTTCAGACCCCACCCACCAGCCTTAGCAGCGTGTGACAGCATGGAACTTAAAAACAAATGAAAAGCTCTCATCTGAGTCCCACCCTCAGAAATCCCCACATCCAACCCACACTGTACAGGAGTGAAATCAAGTCTGGAGAGGGCACTTCTTAAGATGGGGGTCTCCACAGAGCTTTCCCCAGACACAGGGCCAGTGGGGCGGGTAGAATAGGTGTTCGCCCTACCTTAAGATGGTTGAACTTTCCCACTGCCCATGAGTGAAGACTGGGGCTCTTTGTCTGCCCTGACAGGGGCGGATGACTCATTTCTCCTGTGTTTGTCTGGCCCATATCTGTCATTCCCTATGGGAATGACAGCCCGCCTTTGGGAACTGGCTTCGTTTCAGAGCTGATCACCTGGGAACACTTTGTATAAAGAGAATCTGAAAACTTATAGGCTGGAAGGGGAAGTGTAGAAAGCATTAAGCCTTAACCAAAGCCCAGGCCTTGGTGTGTCATCCCCCCCCTCCCCCAAGCCTGATCCATGAAGCTGGCAGAGGGACAGGCACAAGTCTTCTCTCTGATTTTCTCCAGTGCCAGCTCAGAAGCCAGGTGCCAACGCTGACCTTACGGGTCTGCCGCACAGGGTGGGTTCAGAGCTCTGGGTGAAATGCTCTTAGCCTGTCTTCTAAAGACTTGGAAGCCTTCTGTTCTCAGCAACCCAACTGGTCCTCATAACCCTACATATGTGACCCTGGTCTGTAGCTTCTGGACTCCATGTTATGAATGAATGCATTGACCCTTCCTTCAGCTTTGGGGTCTCTTCAAGACTTTCATAGTGAACTTCATGTTTGTAGAGCAAATCCTGGGACCAACACCTGTGAGTTTAGCAAGCTAACTTCTGGTTGCTTGCAGGCTGGAGACACAGCCCTCCATGTGGCTGCTGCCCTAAACCACAAGAAGGTAGTTAAAATCCTGCTGGAAGCTGGTGCTGACACCACCATTGTGAACAACGTAAGTTGAACCGCCGCAATGAGTTTCACAGGCTGGCAGCCCCTGAGGAGTCAGTGAGCTTCCCCTGCCACAGCTCCTGGGGCCCTCATCTGGATTGGGCCACCCCAGGATTTAACTCTTTTAGACACTGAGCTGGGGTGAGCACAGCCTGGCAAGAAGAGAGTTCTGAGGAGTCCTCACCAAGCTGGCACGTGGGCCTCACGATGCCTCCTGGGGCTGGAGAGATGGCTCAGAGGTTAAAAGCACTGGCTGCTCTTCCAGAGATCCTGAGTTCAATTCCCAGCAACCACGTGGTGGCTCACAACCATCGCTGCCCTTTTCTAGCCTGCTGGCATACATGCAGGCAGAACACTGCATAGATAATAAATAAATGTAAAAAAATAGATGGCTCCTGCCAGATGTGAAGGCACCTGAGAATCCTGCTGCCTTTCTCTCCAAGACTCTGCCTCTCCATCCTTCCTTTTCACAGCCTGCCTGGTCATCTCTGTAGGTTCCCTAGCCTTCTAGCCTTCTTCCTGTAAGGCTCAGGGACACTGATGCTGACTTGCTTTCTTTATCTCTGTGGCTAGCTCACCCTGCCGGCACCCCACCCCCTCCTCCATTATAGCTCTGAACCTGCCTGGTGCTACAATTAGTTTGTCCACAGTAACTGCACTGCAGGACACACTCTCCTTTCCTGTGGAATCCCACTGACATCTGCTCCCCGAGTTTAATCTTACCACCTACATTCTAGCTGTAGCTCTGTGCTGAGACTGCTCCTGCGGCACAATTCATGCCTATGGGTGGATTGTTCGAGGGACAGAAAGGTCCTGGAAGGTCCCCGTGGTCTCCCTCAAGTTTGTGCCCCTCTTTTTTCCTGTCCTCTGGGGCTAAGAGGCGTTAATGAGCCTTGCTGATGTACTCCGCGGAGGAACTGAGGCCCAGGAGTGACCCTGCCACCTGAGTGTGATGGAGAGTAGAACTGCCCACTCCTGGGGTCCCTTTGTCACCTGCCTTCTGTGTGTCTTTCCTCAGGCAGGCCAGACCCCGCTGGAGACTGCCCGCTGCCACAATAATCCTGAAGTCGCTCTGCTACTCACCAAGGCTCCCCAGGTAGGAGTTATAACCTCTGACTGATCATGCGGGGCTACACAGTTGCTGGGCTTCCTCTGGCTGTGGTCTAGTGAAGCCAGGTGAAAGTAAATAAGAATTGATGGGCTAAGAAGCAAGTCGGTGCAGCGTGTACAAGTCTGTGCGGCATCAAACCCAGCTCTTTGTTGAGGGTGCCATTCTCCCATTGTGGTGTGATTTTGCTGCAGCAAGCTTCCTGGGCCCTACCGTTTCCATTCTGTCCATACCATCCGTAGTCAAGACGGGAAGGTGTTCTGTGGTGCTCACCATTAGTCATCCTGGTGGGAGCAATGATTTCCTTACTGTTGGGAAGGCAGGCTGTTCCAGAGCAAGGCTGGAAATGCTGACTTTCCATCTTTGTGAGGTTCAGGGGATGAAAAGAATCTTCTGAGAATCACACTGCTAGTGACCCTCATTTCACTTAATTTTAAAGACATGCTCATATGACTGGCAGCCATTTCTAGACTGTTGACAATTCTTCTCTTTTGTAAGAGCGACCTCCCTCTTGCACACAGAGCTGGTCCTGCTCAGTGGTGTCTGGATATCCATGCGCTCTTATGTGGGCATCAGGTGTGAGGAGCTGCTGGAAGTGTCATGCCTCACTGTAGGGAGCGTGTGAAATCCTGAGTGACTGTGTGTTGTTAACATGAGAATGGCTGTGTTGAGGTCCCTGATGCCTGAGACCCATGGGAGCGGCAGAGCCTTCCCCATGTGATGTTGGGGGATGGCAAAGACAATGAGTCCTCACAGCTGAGAATGGGGGGACTCAAAGCCCTTCTGGTTCATGAGTAGATGTTGAAAGTGTGTGCAAAAACTGCTCCCCCCCCCCACACACACACAGATGTTTGCAATGGGAAGGCTGCCCCCTATGGAGATTGCTCATACTCAGATTAGCTAAACCTGCCTCTTTGTTTAGTTGTACCATAAACCCTGCCCTACTGCATATAATAAACATGCTGAGCTTCTAGGTGCTGCAGCCACCCCATCAGAGTGAGCACTGCAAAGCTGACCTCGGTTTTGCCGTGTCTGTGTGCCCACGTGTTCTTCATTTCCTTGTTGCCCCTAACCAGGGGTCCTAGGACCCCATTCACGCAAGGCTGTGCTACCCCACCTCACTCCAGCTTTGCAAAATGTAGAAAAATGCTGGTCTGTCACAGTCAGAAAGTAGCTGTGGTTGGCGTCAATGGCTCTGAGACTTTTATGTTCTTAAATACTATGGGCCAGAGGTTGAAGGTTCGTGGTGCCTCAGATCTGTGTTTGGTGGAACACACTCTGCCAACTGAACATCTTAGTGGCAACGGACAGGCAGTGATGGCAGGTACAGCCATCTCCTGTTCCTGGCGGATCCCAGCAGCTCCCCATCTTTCCATTTAACGAGAAGAAGCCCCGAGCAACCAAAACCATGTGCTTGTCCAGTCGCTGCTGGGTCCCCCAACATCTATTGCCCCATGACCATATTGGCTCCTTCTACATTGTTAGGGGGCAGGCACCAGCCCTCCTTTGGGAAACATGGTTAGTCTGATGGCTTACAGATACACCCCAGTGACATCAGAATAACCTGACAGGTTTTATTTTCATACACTTTGGTCAAGGGAACTGGAAGGTGGAAAATGAAGCTGTTTGGAGCAGGGCTACCTCATGGCATGCCATTCCTATCCTAGTTTTATGTAAGTGGCATTCTCTGTTAGGCTATGCACACCTATCTGGCCATGCCAGCCTAGCACATAAATGCCTGTTATTATTATCATAGAAGTCTCTTGTGATCAGAGTTTTCTGTTACTACTAGTGTTTCCCACCAGGCTGTGGGTTCTGTTAGGTCAGAGTGCTGTGCCCAAGGCCCTCTGCCACATCATGTAGATGCTGTGTCCCCTTCACCCCTACAGCTATGGTGTTTATCTCTTTTAGATCTTGCGCTTTAGTCGTGGGCGAAGCCTGAGGAAAAGGAGGGAGAGGCTCAAGGAAGAGAGGAGGGCTCAGTCTGTGCCCAGAGATGAGGTGGCCCAGAGCAAGGTATGAGGGACCCTCTCACAGACCCCAGGTGCCCCCTTGCCTATCCGCTTTCCTCAGCCTGTCCTTCCCACTGGTTTCCGGCTGTCTCCCTGTTTCTTGTGTCCCTCCTTGTCTGTCCGTAGTTCCAGATCCTGTGCCTTTGTGTGTATGTGTGAGTGAGAGTGGGCTTCATCCTCCCTGTGTGTCCTGTGTGTCCGTGGCCTTTGTCCCATTGTCCACACAACCGTACTCTGCCCTGAATTGTGCAGAGCTTGGGTTCTTTCTGCAGCTGTGGCGCCATGTTGTTACCTGGGGCCTTGTTAGCAATGCAGATTCCTAGAACTCACTAGGACCTGCTGGAGCAGGAGCTGTGGATGGGGCAGCCTGGTGTGTTTGAACAAGCTTTCTAGGTGATTCTGAGACTCTCTAGGGCAGGCTGCTTCTTCGGTTTCTAACTAGAGACTGGAAAGGATGACACAGGCTCAGCAGGGCACAGAAGGATTGCATAGTACATAGAATACAAGCCTGACTGGAGATTCACCCCTCGGCAGGTGCCATTGTACAGTGAGCAATATGGAATCCCTTGGAAGCTTTTTTTTGGGGGGGGGGAGGGAGACAAGGTCTCACTGTGTAGCTGACTAGTCTGGAACTTGCTAGCTCAGACTAAGCTGGCCTTGAACTCCCAGAGATCCGATCCACCTGCCTCTGCTGAGATTAAAGACATGTGTGAGGTGTCCAGCTCTTTGAGAGTTCTTGGCAGGGACTATGATATAGAGACTTTTTTTTTTTGACACACAAAAGCATTGAAGTTTTATCCAGATAAAAGGCCAGCCAGCCAGTCAGCCAGAAGCTGTTGCGAGCCTGCCTATTATGCAGAAGACTTCTGTCACTGGCTAATGTTCCTGTGGGTCCATGACTGGATGGGGTCTTATAAGCACAGGGCTGGGGTCAGAGGTCAAAGGCTTAAGTGGAACAATTTGGGGGCTTCTCTTTTGTAGGGAAGTGTCTCAGCAGGAGATACCCCCAGCAGTGAGCAAGCTGTCCCCCCAAAAGAGGAAACCAGAAGAGATTGCCCGTCAGCTTCCCAGGAGCCCAGGAAGGGCGACAGGAGGAGAAAGTCAAGGCCAGAGGTCAGGAGCAAGTGTGTCCTGGGTGCGAGGGACATTTGGGGTTGGTTTGGAGTGGGTTCTGGGTGACTTGCCCAGCCAGGGCACCATGCCTCTGGCTAGCTGTTTGGGAATGAACACAAAAATGAAATTCACTAGCTTTAGACACCAGAGAGGGTGCTAATGTGTTTCTGGGTATGCTACTCTGGGCCCGGAAGCAAGGAGGGGTTCTTTATTTTTTATTTTGGAGACAGGGTTATACTATGTAGCATCGCCTGAGAGATGGGAAATGCTGGCAGGGTGTCACTCTAGTGGGTGTTGCAGGGACTGAGGGGTGGCTTTTCCTTCCCACAGGTGTCAGCACTATCTGACCCCACCCCAGCAGCAGACCAACAGCCTGGACACCAAAGGAACCCACACAGTCATCACCACCCCAAAAAGAAGAGCAGACATCGATGTTGGTCCCCACCTCCACCCCATGGATTCAGGGCCTACCAGCTATACACACTGTACAGGGACGAGGATGGAAAAGTGATGCAGGTACCACACAGTTGCACTGGGCCAGCAGCCTGCAAATGCCAAGGGCTGGTGAAGCCTGTGCCTGGAGCTCGATGGCCACTCAGAGACTGACTTAGCCAGACATGAGCCACAAGATCTCCCATCCAAACCTTGCATATCTGCCGTGCCATGTAGGCCCCAGAAGAAGTCACTGCCCATGGCATCTGTACCATCCTTAGGGGACTTCCTTCCTGAGGCCCCAGAGTGGGTGGGCTCAAGCCTCTTTAAGATAGGTACTGTGTGTCACTCTGAATCTTAGTGCCTTTGGACCCAAAGCTCAACCAATGGGACTTCCAATGCTAGCATGGGGACAAGTCTGTCCTCTTAGTCTTCTGCCTCTACCTGGTACCCTGAATGACACAGTGGTTGCCCAAGATGATTTTTTTTTTTAATAAGAAGGACTAATTTGCTAATTTCTACCTCTCTTTATTGCTTTCTTTCTGTTTCTCTCTCTCTCTCTGGGAGGGGAGAGAGTATTTGTGAGTTTCATATATTATGTGTATGTATTTGAGTGGACACACCCAAGTATGTGCACTTGCAGAAGCCAGAGGAGGGTGCTGTGTGCCCTGGTCTATCACTTCACATCTCACTCCTTTGAGACAGGTCTCTCACTGAGCCTGGAGGCCACCAAGCCCCAGTGATCCTGCTGTCTCTGCCCCCACAGCTCTGGGATTACAGATGTGCATGCCTGGATTTTTACACAGGTAGTAGGATCTGAACTCAGGTCCCCAGGCTTGTACCACCAGTGTTCTTGTCCACTGAGCCATCTTTCCAGCCCCTGATTCCTTTTTCATCCCCCCCCCCAGGCACCAATAAAAGGTTGTCGCTGTGAACCTCTAATCAACAAGCTGGAGAACCAGTTGGAGGCGACTGTGGAGGAGATAAAGGCCGAGCTGGGATCAGTGCAGGACAAAGTGAACACAAAGCTGGGACAGATGGAGAGCAAGACTCAGCACCAAGTAAGCCAGTGGCTCGGCCTCCTGACGACAGGCGTGAAGGCAGAAGACAATCAAAGATGTCAGGGCTTGAGTGTGGTTCAGTGCATGTGCCAGCCTCTGTCGTTAACCAAAATTAGGATTATAAAGGGTATATTCCGGCTGGCGTAGTGGCACATAGAGGCTGAGTCAAGAGGATCACAAATTCAAGGACAGGCTGGACAGTAGTGAGACTTTGTAGAAAAGCAGAAAGAAAGGAAAGAAGGAAGGAAGGAAGGAAAGAAAGAAAAGGAAGGAAGAAAGAAAGAAAGGTAGGAAGAAAGGAAGGAGAGGGAGAAGGAAGGAGGAAGGAAGGAAGGAAGGAACTGGGAGGTGATGTCGTGCACCTTTAATCCCAGCACTCAGGAGGCAGAGGCAGGCACATCTCCGAGTTTGAGGCCAGCCTGGTTTATAGAGTGAGTTCCAGGACAGGACTACACAGAGAAACCCTGTCTCAAAAAGCAAACAAACCAAAAAAAGGACAAAAAAGAAAAAGGAGAGAGAAAGAAAGGAAGGCAATATATTTCCATTACAGAGCATTATTTTAAAGAGAGAGAGAGAGAGAGAGAGATAGAGAGAGAGAGAAGAAAAATAAACATTAGTGAGGAAAGAAATTACCCACAAGCCTGTAGTGGTAAAAAGGAAAACTGTTAATATTTAAGTTTGTCTTCTTCATCTGGGTGTTCTGCTGAGAGTGGATTTCATGGAGTCAAGCTTGCCTCGGGCTCATTCCATAGCTGAGGCGGCCTCGGACTTCTGATCTTCCAGCTTCATTGTCCAAATGCTGGGGCTGCAGGTGTGCACTCCACGTCTGGTCTCATGTGCTGGGGACTGAACCCAAGACTTCATGCATGCTTGTTAAGCAAGTGCTTACCAAGTGAGGTACAGCACCAGTTCCTTTGTTCAAGTGTTTATCATGAAAACAGTCAAACACAAAGAAAAGCTGAGAGAAGACAATGATAAAATAACGAATGCTTTTATACTGAGGGTCAACCAGCTCTCTGTTCACAAAGCCACACTATGTGGTCTAGGTTCATCTTGAACTCTGACCCCCTTCTAAGTACTGTGGTTGGAAGCACGGGCCCCACATCCACTTTGGTTCTTATTCTGGGGCTTTGGGTCCCTCTTACTGCCTCACCAGCCCCTTATCTCACACTGGGGGAGGCTGAGTTGCCATGTCCTGTCGTATGACCTCTCAGTAGCTCACAGTGTGCCTACTGAGGATTAGCCCGAAATTCATCACATCTAAGAGAATCAACAGTAATTGCACAATATCCTGTCCATGTTCAGACTTTCTCAGTTGCTCCTAAGTATTTTATTTAGTTGCTTTCACGGGTTATTTATTTAATCTTTTGAGACAAAGTAGCCCAGGCTGTCCTCAAACTTATTCCATGGCTGGGATGATGGGTGCATGCTGCCACACCCAGATGTTTGATTTTAACCTTGGTATATGGCCCTTTGCAATCTGACTGTTGGGTTCTGCATTCTCTGAGTGGCTCCCAGCCCCTTCCAGCTTGCTGTCCCTTTGGAGGATCCATGCCAGTTGTCTTATATGGCCTGCTGCCTTATGGATTTGTTCCTAGTTTCTTCATCCCTGAACTTCTGCCATCAGAAAGGTCTGGGACAGTTCATGGCTCTGAGAGTGTGGTCCCTAGGCGGCAGCAGCAGAGGTTGGTGAGGTGAACTCTTGGGCCTATTCCAGTTTTGCTGAGTTGAATTTAATCACCATGACTGGAATTCTGAGTGGGGCCCACAAACCTGTGACAAGCAAGACCTCCAAGGGCTGCTGCTAAAGTCTGTGATGTGAACAGCAGTTCAATACAGTTACTTAGGTTCCAATAAATACTTCTGCAACCATACATCATGGTCAGTAGTGTGAACTCCAGACTGCCCTCTGCGTGGAGGTACTTAATGCCAAGGTACTTTAGGGTTACTGAAGCTAAGTTGGACGCTTATTCTCTTCCGCAGCGAAAGTACACTTTTCTCATTGTTAATAGGAAATGTGCCAATTCCTGGCTCTCGCTTCCTCATCTTTGCAGGGTTTTTTTCAGTGCCCAGAAGGGGACCATGGCGATCTCTAGACCCACAGGGACAGCCCTGGGAGCCCTCTTTCCCACCCCGCAGTGTGCTTCACAGTGCAGCGCTGTGCCTGTGTGGGAGAATGACACTGTGCGTGCGTGCGTGTCACGAGCACTTTCCCGTGTCTTTATCTGCATAATGTTTACTTGACCATTTATTATTAGACTTTCCTCCTACTCTTATAAATAATTTTAAGATAAAAGTTTATGTATGTAATTTGTTGGCTGCTTCTCAGACTTTAAAATGTTTTTACATTTAATTGTGTGTGTGTGTGTGTGTGTGTGTGTGTGTGTGTGTGTGTGTGTAGGTAGGTAGGTAGGAGGACAACTTAGTGGGAGTTTATTCTCTCCTCCCGTGTGAGTCCCAGAGATTGAATTCAGGTTCTCAGTCTTGGTGGCAGATGTCTTTACCTACTGAGTCCAGTCTCAGACTTGGTTAGTGTTAGGATATTTTGGTTCATTATTAATGCTCGAAGCTCTTGATGAATGCTGGTAGGTTACCTCATAGAAAGGTTGTACCAATTTATACTCCACCAGTGTCTGAGTTTCTGTCTCCAATTTTTGCCATCATTTAATATTTTTTCAAGTTTGTGTTAAATGGACATTCTATTGTAAGTTTTCTTTCCTTATTTATGGTGAAGCTTAACTATCTCTCTGTATCTCTCTCTCTTTCTCTCTCTCTCTTTCACTGTTTCTGGTGAAGCTGAACTAACTCACATTCTCTCTCTTCCTCTTTCAGACAGTATCTCACTGTGTAACCCTGGTTGGCCTAGAACTTGCTGTATAGACCAGGCTGGCCTGGAACTCACAGAGGCCCCTGCCTCTGCCTCCAGAATGCTGGGATAAAGGGTGTACCCCCACACCCACTGAGGTTGAACATTTTTTTCTGATTTACTTGACTCTTGCATTTTGTAGAAAGAGTATTTGAAAACTCTCAGCCAGTCTGCACCCCCAAAAGACTGTGCCAGATGAAAGCTAAATCCTTAGGGCCTCCTGTTGGTGTGGGGAGGATGGCAGATTGGTGGGTAGGTTCAGTCCTCTTTCTAAGTGGCAAGGACAGGACATGAGCCTGGCAGTGTAAGGCAGGTGCCTGGGCCGATGTTGTACTTTTAAAGAAGCCCTGCACACCTTGCTTCTTGGGTGTGGACATCTCTGTAGCAGAAGAGGGGAAGAGGCACCCTAATAAATAAGGAAAGTAAGCAGTTCCCAGAAAAACATGGGGACCCAGGGGAACTCATAGAGCCTCATTGTGAAAATCCGTGTACATCACCAGCACGGGATGGCTCCCCAGTGAGACCTTGTGGCTGGCTCCGTCTAACACTAGCTTTGTTCTCCTTTTTGGACCTTGTCAGATCAATAAGCTTGGTCTAGCATAGGAGTCAGGAAATGTTACAAGGTCCCAGAAAGGTCTCTGACTAAATGATGGCAGCCAATTGGACTCTTAGGCAGTCTTTGAGATCGTTTCTATTCCTTTCCCATGCATGTTTTGATTGTCTTTAATGAAGTGATCAGAGACCCGTTCTCTGGGTTTCCCATAGTTGGTCCTAATGATAGCTTTGGCATTTACATTCTAGGGCCTACCAGAATCCCTGCCTCCATGTGTTTATGTTGTATATTTTTGTGAACCTGTGGTCTGTTAAGCCCTTAGGACTTACAATGATTAAAAAAAAAAAAAAAAAAAAAAAAAAAAAAAAAAAGCACAACAGTGACCTTATAAGAAATATGTGCAGGAATTCTGAAAAGCTAGACTTCACACTGTGAAATTAGGATGCAAGGCAGAGTTGAAGTCAGTTGCCTGTTTGTGGACTCTCCTTGTGAGTGGAAACCAGAGTCCATTCTCAGATCATTTCAGTATGTGTTCTGTCTCCTTGAACCCTAGATGTGTGTTTTGGACAAAATGATGGTAGAGAGACTGTCGGCAGAGAGAACAGAGTGCCTGAATCGCCTGCAACAGCACGCAGCCTCTGAGAAGCGGGAGGGGGAGAAACGGCAGGTAAGAGTCAGCTGGTCCTTCGCTGATGCATGTCTACCAAGGCAGTCTACATCCAGTACTGCAAACTGAGAGGCTGAGAGTGCAAAGACCATTTGCATTCCATAGCCTATTGTTTCTGCAGCCCCAGTATAGTTAGTAGCAGAGAGCATGTAGTCTTTTTGAGCCTATTCCTCAGTCTGTTGGTGGAAAGTTGAGACAGTTTGCTGGAAAGGCATCTGTTCTGTGATTTGTCCATTCATTGGTTTCCTCTTCAAGAGTCTACTGCTTTTCCAGGTCAGCAGAAACTGGATGAGTACCTGTAAGTTTGGGAGAGCAGCCAAAAACCCCTGGTTTGGAAGATTTGCTGGGCGTTTAGACATTTGAGTTCTAGGTGACTCACAACCTTGGTTTGATGGCAGGTATGGCCTGTGGGAGGATGAATAATCCCTCACCTTTAGATGTGCCGCTTGTAACCTCAAGTGTGGTAATTTTAAAGTTTGTTCTTGGGAACTAGAGAGTTTACTTAGTGGTCAAGTGTGTTCTGCTCGCCAGTGGACTCAGCACCTACACTGGGTTGCTCATAACTGCCTGTAATTCCATGTCCAGGGTACTTCACACTCTTCTCCCCTCCAGGGGTATATGCACACACTCACACACACAGAGACACACACTCACACATACTCACACACAAACATACACACTCATGCACATGCACACACAGAGACACACACACTCACACACACACACTCACACACATACATACACACACAGATACACTCACACACAGAGACACACACTCACACTCACACACACACACATTTTATCAATGAGTGGGGACAGAGAATGAGTGAAGACATGCACGCCAGGGCACTTCCTCAGGACAACTTGAGGAACTCAGTTCTCTTTCCTTCTACCATGTGGGTTCTGGGGATTGAACTGGGGTTTTCAGACTTGGCAGCAAGCATTTTCACCACTGAGCCATCTTACCAGCCCATAAAATAAATCATTTAGATTAAAAGTTTTAAAGACAACTTTATGTATGTGTGTGGGTGTTTTTTCTGCACGTGTGTCTGTGCACCATGTGGATGCCCAGTGCCCTTTGGACTGGAGTTAAAGACTGTAAACTAGTTGCAAACTGACATGTGGGTGCTTGGAATAGAACTTAGGCCCTTTGGAAGAGCAGTCTGCTTTTAATCACTGAGCTGTTTCTCCAGCCAGCACCGCCCCCCAAGTTCTTCCCCCCCCCCTTCCCTGAGATAGTGTTTTTCTGTGTTGCTTTGGAGCCTGTCCTGGAACTTGCTCTGAAGATCACATTGTCCTTGAACTCACAGAGATCCGCCTGCCTCTGCCTTCTGAGTGTTGGGATTAAAGGTGTGTGCCACCACCACCCAGCCCAGAAGTTCATTCTTGATGCTTTAATTCATATGCCTTATCAATTTACTCTTGTGTATTATTTGTTATTTCAGATGTCCTTGGTGGATGAATTAAAAGCCTGGTGTATGTTGAAGATCCAGAACCTAGAGCTGAGGTTTTCTGGAGAGTCTGGGACCTGTAGAGCTAAATCCACACCATCTCCATGTGACTCCTCTCCAGGTGACCCATGCATAGAGAGCATCTGGCAGACAGAGACTCGCTCTTGTCCTTCCTGATCTGAATGAATACTGTCAATACACAACAGCTTCAGCAAATACAGTGAGGTCCAACTGTTAAGAAGTATAACCTATCTAGACATGTGAGAGTGAGGAGTAAAATAGGGGATATTGACAGGTGACCATGGCCAAAAGCAGCCTGGGGAGGAGGAAAGAGTTTATTTAGCTTAAACATCCCATACTCCATCACTGAGGGAAGTCAGGATAGGAACTCAAGGCATGAACCTGGGGACAAGAGCTAAGATAGAGACCTTGAAGGAAGTGCTGCCTACTGGCTTACTCTTTATAGCTAGCTTTCTTATACACCCCAAGACCACCTGCCAAGGGATGGCAGTACCCACAGTGGGCTGGGCTCTCACACATCAACTCACAGGCTTACACTCTCAACTGAGGTTCCTCTTCCCAGATGACCCTGGCTTGTGGGAAATTGACAAAACCAACAGCATAATGGGGGCCAGTGGATCCTGAAGATGAGGGGTGATGAAGGACCAACTTTCTTCTGGGCAGACCTTTTTCCCCTCTCTGCTCTGACTCAAGTGGTCTTTTGCATTGACCTAACCCTGCAAAGCTCTTGAAAGCAGTAGCCTGTACTCAGAACTTGCCCCACTGTTAAGGCATGCTTTAAATGAAAACTAGCATATGTTCATTGTACAAAATGATGATTTCATTATATTTCCACACACATGCATCATCCCAAATGCTCCCTGGTACCTCCACTTCTGCTAATTCATTTCCTCTTCCTAAACAGCCCCTCTTCCATGATATAGCTTTTAAAAGTCTAGATTCTGGTTGGACATGCTGGCACATGCCTTTAATCCCAGCACTCAGGAGATAGGCAGGTAGATCTCTGTGAGTTCAAAGCCAGGTTGGTCTACATTTCCAGTTTCAAGACAATCATAACTACACACACGGGGGGGGGGGGGGGGGAAATAGGGGGGAGGTGGACCTTGTTTCAGAAGAAAAATTTTTTTAAAATAAAAAAAGTAAATTCTAGATTCTAAATATGAGAAAAAAAAAAAAAACAAAAACATGTACCATCTGCCTTTTTAGTCTGAGTTAATTCTTACCACAATAATCTCGGGTTCTATCCATTTTCCTACAAATGATGTAATTTTTCCTTTATGGCAGAATCAAACACCACTGTGTGTATAAACCATATTTTACTTATGTAAATGATAATTCTAAAGACATTAGAGCTTGGTAACTAGGTTCTACTGGGGAACTTTGATAGATCAAGTGCTTACTATAGCCCTATTTACATGGCTTTACCTGTACCAATGTGTTGAGAAACACCCTGAGCCAACTTTAAAGCTAGGACTAGCTAGGGAACAGCTGTAGTGAATGGAGCATGAGTTGAGTGGATCAGGACTGCTGTATGCCTTCCTCACAACTCTGCTGTAACTCTAAAACCAGTCTAAAAAAGTGAGTTGTCAGTGGGTGTGGTGGCACATGCCTTTACTCAGCACTTAGGAGGCAGAGGCAGGTAGATTGCTATGAGTTCATAGTGAGTGAGACCCTGTCTCAAACAAGCAAAGAAAAAAGTCCATAAAAGAAAAGAAGTGGTACATAGGCTTATGTCCCAGAAATGAAGAGTGTGGGTGTGTTCCTCAGCACTCTTTCTGTGTAAGTTTTGTCATCCTTACACATGAGAAACAGGACCCAGAGACTTCTAGGGCAGACAAGACATGCTAAGGAAAGGTCAGAAATATAGCCTATATGCTATTACTGTGGCTAACACAGAATCCAAGAGAGCCCTGATGAACTAAGATGAAAATGCTGGAGATAAAGTGGGAGGGAGAAAGGAAGGGAAGAGAAAGGGAGAAGAAGGTGAAAGAAAGCTGGGAGAAGTGGGTGAGTGGTGCCCAGAAAGGCAGGACAGTGGGTAAGTAGTGGTGCCTGGGAAGGCTGAGGTTCTGAGGACTCCAGGACTCTCAAGTGAATGAGACCCCAGCTCTGTGTCTAAATACGGACATGCTCTGACATTTGTTTCTCCTTTGAAAACAGCTGTAGATCAGCCAGTGGCAGCTGCAGGGCCAGCAGCAGCTTCCAACAGCTCCTCTCAGGTTGTGAGGCCCAAGGACAAGACACTCAGTACCACCACTGCCCAGAAGCAGCAGGAGGAGCTGCTTCCCTCTGAGTGCACAGGCTGCCGGTTAAGGAAGGTCAAGGCCCCGGCAGTCCCCTGTCCCTTGAATGGGGCTCCCAAGTGTGATCAGCCGGCAGCATCCTGTGTCAACAGAGGGACTCAAACCAAGAAGTCTGGGAGAAGTGGGCAGACCAAACATCGAGGCCAGCAGCCAACCGCCAGCAGCCCCTGTGGGCAGCAGCCAGCAGCAGCAGGTGGTGACGTTCCAGACGCCTCACACGCCCTGGAGCTAACCCAGTATTTTTTTGAGGCAGTTTCTACCCAGATGGAAAAATGGTATGAACGGAAAATCGAAGAAGCGCGAAGCCAAGCCAGTCAGAAAGCCCAGCAAGACGAGGCCACACTGAAGGAGCACATCAGAAGTTTAGAAGAAGAGCTTGCCAAGCTGCGGACAAAGGTGCAGAAGTAAAACACGGACCCTGAGGTGAAGCAATGGGATTTCTGACTCAGTGATGGCAAAGTAGCTGTGTCCCAGGAGCTGGTTATCATGCACAAGGTGAAATTGCTTTTTTAAAAGTTGCTAATCTGTTGTGAACACATACTTCTGTGCCCAGAAGTTACAAGGATTTCACTACTTACACTGAATCCTGGGAAGCTGGAGGAATTGCCGGTTTAATTCTAAACCTCGGGCCAGGTTCATTAAAAAAAAAAAAAACAAGCCACACCAAGTAGAGAAGGTATGTGTCTAAGTCTGTGACTCAGTGATATGAAATATGTCAAAAGCAAAGATTACTTCCTGGGAACTCTACAAGTAGTCATTCACATACTCATCAGCACGCCTGCTGTGCCCAGATGGTCCCAGCAGAGCCGGGACTCAGATGCAGGAAGACTTCTTTCTCCCTTGTAACTCTCAAAATGCTCATCCTTTAACTGAGTGAAAAATCTTTCAGATTTTGAAAGGATACATTTTAATGATTTCAGTGTCCGGTTTTTCTTAAAATAATTTTAAAGGCCATGTAAATAAGGAGTAATTGCTGACTGGAAATGTTTGTCAAAGGAGAAAAGTTTAAACCATTGGTCAGTTACTGTGTTTTTAGCCAAAATAACTGAATAGATTTCTGGAAAAATATTCATGAAACAACTTCAGCCAGTTACCTTAGACTACCTTCCTGAATTCAAGACTTTTGTTCTGTATTTTGTAAAGAAATAAGGTGATTTCATGGAAGTTTAATTTTGAATTGACTTCTTTCACTGAAGAACATCAAGGTAAATAATTGACTAACTCAACATCAGAAGGCTTTACTTGTTTACTGAATAAAATCTACCCAACGGAAGTGTTGAAGATATCTTGGATTTCTCTTGAAATCCTTTGGATCATGGGTTATATCAGTCTCCACATATGCACAGAAAATTCAGTTCTATTTCTCTATGACTAAAAATCTAGTAACTACTATCTATGAATTGTGACTAAAATGCTGTCCATTGAGCCAAAGAGAAGTGATCTTTCAGGAATAGTATGCATTTAGCCTTGTCAAGCCAAGTTTTTGTTTTTCCTTATAGTAACAATCCATAGATACAGATATTCCTGTAAAGTAACAAGGTAGATATTTAGAGTATAGAATCCAGTGAGTCATTATTTCATGTGACTGACCCATCTCTATCCTCAACATCTTGGGAGTCTCCTTCACTAGGGTTCTGAGTTCAGCTCACTTGCTGGAGCCCTGCTGTGACACTATCTGAAACAAGATGTTGCTCACTTCTGTAGTTTCGTTCCTTATACTAAGAGATGAAATCTTGAGCTCAAGATTTATGCTCCAAGCATTTCGCTGTTAGAATACTTATTACCTCACAATATCCTTGTTGAGAAACGCAGAGATCAACATTGAACATCAAGTTTAGACCACAGAGTATCTTGGTGGCAGTACTTTGATGATATACCTCCTACCCATCAGAAGCAGGCAGCTTATCACTGTGAATTGGATATTTTTGTCAAGTCATTAAGCATAAAACCAGGCTATTGAATAAGGTTAGTCAGGCCCTTACCCACAGGGTTGACTTCCTAAATTGGTTTGTTGTTTGGGGTTTATTGTACACACTAGGCTGGCACCTTAAACTCACGATCATCCTGTCTCAGCCTCCTGAATTCTGGGATTAAAGGAGTGAACCCCATGGCCAATCATGTTTTGTTTGTAACACCAATATTAGGTTTGTTGCAATTGTTCCTTAGCATTATGAAGCACTGTAGATCCGGTGTGTATTTTCCCCTTGTGCTATGTGCTAAAACAAGACAATATCCCAGCTGTACTAAATAACTGTTTATACTTTATACTCTCACATAGGTCTCGTTTCAAACTGGGGCCTAAAAAGTGTCAACAGCTGTGGAAAAATGTTATCAAACAGTAAAGTTGTACATTATTAATGGCCTTTTAAAAACAAGTAATTGTTAGCACGTCCATTATACTGTATACTAAATAATTGTGATGGGTGAATGTGTCAGTCCTAGCATCACTTTTGATTTGGGGAGTCCAAAACACACGTTTTTCATCTGTAGAACTTTTTTTTTTTCTGGTGAAAGGCATGTTGTCTAATGTTCTTACCCTGAACTTGTACTTCCTGTAAACATTAAACGTTGTTTTCAGTTGTTGGTACTCCTTATTTATAGCCATATGTTCTGCTGACTGCACTCGAGAATTCCTGAAAGAGCCTGCACCCAGCCACGCCACTTAGGGAAAATGCATCTAGTTTAATTTCAACCTCAGATGTCTTATATCAACACAAATTGGGTGCAAATTGGGGAAACTCTTTAATGTCGTTATTAACTCCACAAGGTACAAGACATGATAGCACCTTTTAAGAAATACAATAAAATGATTTTCAGTAAACACAAATGATAAATAATCAAAAAGGCTTATTTTAATTGAGTATGTGAATATGAGTTCAGGTGCCTGCTTGGCATTGGATCCCCTGAAGCTGGGTTAACAAGCAGTCCTGAGCTGCCCCATATGGGTGCCGGGACCTGAACGTTGGTCCTCTTCAAGAGTAGTATAAAAAGATAACTCAGCAGTTAAGAGCACTGGCTGCTCTTTCAGAGGTCCTGAATTCAATTTCCAGCAACCACATGGTGGCTCATAACCAACCATCTGTAAAGAGATCTGATGCATTCTTCTGGCTTGCAGGCAGAACACCGTATACATAAATCTTTTTTAAAAAGTAGTATGCCCTTAACTGTTGAGCCATCTCTTCAGTCCCCAAAAATCTAAATTTAATGTGAATATAATTCCTTAAAATCCTGTAATTTGTGATTTGTTAAGGTGATTTTTTTTTTTAAATGTCTTTGTGCCTGATTCTGTATAATCCTTTTCCTTTTCCAAGGCAGGTGTGGGCTCTTCTGTTTGGAATGGCCTTTTCCTTAGCTATTTTCGTCTGTGTCTCCCAAGGGTACTGCTGGTGTAACTTAATGTTCGAGCTTCTGCTCCCCTCAGTTATCAGCAGCAAACTATTTGGGTACATCCACAGCAATGATGTGTCATGAATTTGAAATGTACACCTGATGGCACTTTTTAAAGAGGGGAAATGATAGAGGGCAAACTGTTATAAACTGACTTTAGCTACTTATCTGTTACAAAGCTTTTGTGTAAAATACCTCTCTTTTAAGGCAGTGTTTCAACTATACAGATCTGGCTGGCTGGCCCAGAACTCAAAAGAGGCCCACCTGCCTCTGCATCCTGATTGCTAGGATTAAAGGTGTGCCTTTACAACAAGACTGTTTCTTCACATACATACAGCCAATTATTAAAACATCTTAAAGTCTAGGATGTTTAAAGTTTGAGTTTGACATTCAAACAGGTAACTTTAAAGGAGACACTCAGAACAGTTAATAGGTTGTACAATCCTGCATCCAGATAAACTAGATTCATGATGAGTAAAACTTCACCAGCAGTTCCAGCTGGCCAACATCTCAGACTGTCATCCTGTATTCAAGGGAAACATTGCTAAAGAACCTCCTTGTGAAGCCGGGCGGTGGTGGCACATGACTTTGGCTCTCGGGAGGCAGTGGCAGGTAGATCTCTGTAAAAAAAAAAAAAAAAGAGCCACCTTGTGACCCAGGTTCAATTCCCAGCACCCACAATGGTAGCTCACAACTCCAGCTCCAAGGGATCCACACCCTCACACAGACATAACATGCAGGCAAAACATCAATGCACATAAAATAAGTTGTAGTGAGATATTTACTTTGTCTTCTTCTGTGGCACTGACTGTGCCCATTGGGGGTGGAGCCATGGGCAGAAGTGACCTGTGGAAGGAGGACTGAGGAAGAGACAGGAACTCTCTCTGGCTGTCGAGACTCAGACAGGAGAGCATCTGGTGGAGCTTGTCTAGGTTGTAAGTTATTTCTCCCTGAATAATCATCTATTCGGCCTATTTGTTTATCCTGATCCTTATTTAACCGCAATAATAAGTCATTTAAAAAAAAAAAAAAAAAGGTCAAGCAAGACTTGATCTAAAGGCAAAGACATTAATCAAAACACCTGAGTGAGCAAAGTAGACCTGACCCTCAGAGATGAACGGAAAGCTAGGTGTTGCATTAACCTTTCCCTTTGAAAGCAATTCCATCCTGCTTTAAAAATAACCATGCAGGGTGTATGAGCACACACCTGGCACTTGGCAGAGGCTGAATCCCTGAGTTCATGAGCAGCTAGAGCCACAAAAACAAAATCCAACCTCAGCTTGCCTTAGGACTCTTGACAAATATATGTGCTTTTAAAAGACTACATCTCATCATTGTTTAGTTCCAGGATTTTAGACTTACTTAGAACAGATTTGAACTTGTACGTCAACCAGACCACACAGGGAATTATGTAAAGTCCTCTCTCTTCAAGACTGCTCATAGAAAGTGTAGTGGCTCACACCTACAATTCGGGCACTTGGAAGGTGGAGGATGAAGGATTAGGGCAGACCTGGTTTCAAAAATAAAAACCCTAACTGTTCACAAATGCTTGTCGGTATTTTTGCATAGACTATGTTTGAAAAAACAAACAAAATTAACTTATGAAAGCAGTCTGAATTAGATCACTCTCATACAGAACTGTGCATGGGACGGTAAGCCTCCAGGAGGTGGAGCTGTGCTTGGGCAACATAGGTCAAGCTTTCTGCATCGTCTTTCCAGGCATCCAGTACAGGACACTAGTTAGGTTCCCGTCTGGCATCTGTGTTCTGTTAATGGACACTTTTAACTGCTTACAGGATCATTTCAGAATCTTCCAAGTTTCTACTTTCACACATTTCACTAAATGTGTATAATTTTATCTCGTGTCCTGATGTCAACTCTATGATGTGTTTCTTTTCTCAATTTTTGAAGGAGAGCATAATGTACCAAGGCTCTTTCTTGATTCAGTGTCCACAAGGATATTAGGCATGGGAGATGAAGAACTGCCCAGTCTTCCCTCTTCTTTTTGGTGTTTCAATGTTCTCATCTTTTATTTCCAACAAAGCTCCAGATGCTCTTGAGGTCTTAGCCCTTTGACCATTAAACAGTAATACACATGAACAAAGTAACTTCACAACTCTGAAGAGCAAAGCAGGTTTTCCTGGTCCTAGAACAGTGGTTCTCAGCCTTTCTAATGCTGGGACCCTTTAGCACAGTTCCTCAAAATAATAGTTATTCTGTTACTGCATAACTGTAATTTTGCTACTGTTGTTAATTGTAATGTAAGTATCTGTGACCTCTGTGCAAGGGTCATTCAGGTTGAGCACCATTGTTCTAGAGTGTCTCCTGGAGTTAGTATACTGTCAGTCCTATATCAGGTTTGTTTGTTTTACAGCTTGAGATAGAGGTCACAACATACCATAATCTTGTAGTCTAAAAGTGGCACAGTGAATGAAGTTCACATGTATTCTTTGTCTTGTCATTTAACTGTTTATTGAAAAAGGCACAAAGCTGTCCCATGTCTAGCCAGTCAGTCTCTCCTGGACTGTAAACCTTACTTACCTTCACAGGATGAGAACTGCAGAGCTGGCTCTAAGTGATGTAAAATTTGGACACTGTGTTCATATCATAAACGTTTTCATTAGAATGTCTTCTGTAGCAAGTGGAAAAAAAAATCTACTATAAGAATTACACTTCAAACCCGTTTTATACTCATGCTGTCTCTCACTCAAATGGACGTCAGTATATCCTTAGAATGTCCAGAGTTGTAACACCATCACACTGTTATTCTCCACATCCCTTCAAGCAGCACTACCTGTTCACTGAGAACACTGTTCTATCCCTGGTTCAAGGCAGTACCCACTGCACGTAGACGCAGGGGCTCTTTTATAGTTGGCTCCTCTAACTTAACAATGTTATCAAGGTCATCATGGGGAGCATGGAGCAGTTTGCACTCATTTTTACTGCAAAATAGTATTTTATTGTAGAACATTTTACATACCCAAGTATCAGTTAATAGATATTCTGAATCCAGTATCTGGTTATCAGGAACACTGAATTCATTCTGTCCCAGTGGCACACACCTTTAATCCAAGCACTCAAGAGGCAGAGGCAGGTGGATCTCTGGGTTTGAGGTCTGGCTTATAAAGAGAAAAGCTGTTTTAACCCCCCCCCAAAATGGTGAACTCTGTATACACTTTTTATAGGCATGCTTCAGTTCTCTTGGTTAGAGTGAGACTTGCTGAAGTATGAGGTAACTGTCACCTTTTATTCATTTTTAATTATATTCTCTCTCTCTTTTTTTTTTTTTTTTTTTTTTTTTTTTTGTCTGTTTATGTGCCACAGCACCTGTGTGGAGGTCAGAAGACAATTTTCTGGAGTGGTTTCCTCCTTCCACCGTGTGGGTTCCAGGGGTCAACCTCAAACTCAGGTTCTTGGCAGCAAGAGCCTTAACCTTGGAGCCATCTCACTAACCCCATCTTGTTACCTTTTCAAGAACTATCTGTTTTCCAAAATGGCTGCTGGTTCCCAACTCCTGTCAGCACCTTACTTAGATCACTTTTTAATAGCAGCCACTGTAGTGGAAATGTAAATGCCTTGATTTCCAGTCTTGATTAGCATGATCATCTTTTCTTGTGCCACTGGGGATTTGTGGCAGTGGCTTTCAGCCTGTGCAAAATGCATGGAGATCTCAAAGTCTTTCCATTAAGACTTTGCTAACGCAAGTGTCCTTTCTAATTCCTTTAGCTGCATATTGCCTTGAGTAATCATCATTCGTATTGTATCCTGTAGAAGAGAGGGGAATTTAGTCATTGTTTTACCAGGTTAACCATGACACAGTTCTATTATTTTATCTGCTATATCCAAGAACCAACAGTGGCTGGTTATGGCTGTGGACTTAACACGCCCAATTCCTACACAAAAGAACCCCCAACGAGAAACCAACAGTGGCAAGTGCAAGCCAGGCGAAAGGGAGGAACTTCAGCAGTGATCAAAACCAACCCCCTTAGTGGCATATTCCAAGACGTTCGCTAATGTTTAAGTTCAACAACACACCGGGGCAAAAGGAGACGCTGCCTCAGTCTGGTCTTGCTCTCACCTCTTCTGTGGCACTTTTGTTTCTTTTGAATTCTTCCCTGGCCCAGTCCTGAAGGTACTTCCTGTCAGAATCGCTTGGAACTTGCCTAATGGCTCGCAAAATCTTCCTGTAGAGGAGGAGAACTTGTTGCCTTCTCATGAACTGCTCGGGGGGCAAGGAGAAATGCAAATTACAAATAAATACCCGCCGGCTCCACCTCAGCAAACAAACTGTAACCAGAGATGTCCCTTTGGTCCTCAAGACGGGCGGATAGCTTGGGTCATGCACACCTATCACCCCCGCCCTCGGGAGGCTGAGGCTGCAAGCCGAGGCCCGCGGTGGCTGTGGTGAGCCATGTCTCAGGGAGAGCGCCTCAAAAGTCCACAGGCCACAGTCCCACACGAGCGGAGCCACCACCGCGGCCCCTGCTCCAGGCAGGTACCGGGCCACGGGGCTGGAGAACCGCGGGTACCTGCTTCAGCGTCAGCACCGTGGGAGGCAAGCGAGAAGACGCCATGTGTCCCATGGAGGCAGCCGCTTAATGCGCAAGAGCGGAAGTGGAGCCTGGGGATGACGGGAACACGGAAGCAGAAGGAGGAGGCGGGCGAGCCCGGTTGCTAGGAGACGGACGCCCTAGTTTTGCGTCTCGGCTGGGGTCTCACCCGCCACAAACGCCAGAAGGAACTTATCACCTAGGAGCTTAAGCGGTTTACCGGAAGGGAGAAATCGTGCGTTTTTTGAGCACTCTTGATGTGTATAATTGAAGAGAACGACATTTAAACTAGTAATTTTAACTTGCATGCTGCAAGCTTTTTTTTTTTTAAAATCTTATCTTTATCCTCCAGCAGGTAGTCACCAGGATCCTTGAAATTTCCCTACTCATGGGGCCTTTAGAGGGCCTTTTTGTTCTGTCCCCCACACCACACACCTCGCAGTGTATCATATGTAACTGCTCAAAACAGCTCCAGATGCATAATATACCTCTAGTTCTCAGTGTTTATGTCACAGGCATTATGAGTGAGGCTTAACCCCGTGTGCTTTTTCAGATTTTTTTCTCTTGTGGGAGCTTGAGGATCAAGCTGGAATCATTAGGGTTGGTGGCAAGTGTTGATGTCCTGGCTTCTCCCTCTCCCGGGTCAACGCCCCCTAAGTCAGCTGAAAGCAGTCTTGATGATTTGGCACCCCATATTCCTGCCCTACTTAACACCCCCTGTTACTTGTTCTTGTGTGGCTATGTGCCCCCAAACTTCCAAAGCCAACCAGGCTACAGTTCTTCCCTTTCGAGAAGTGGCTGGAGTAGATAGTCTGGTTAAAGTACATGTCCCCTTCTCACTCTCAGAACTTTCTCAAACAGAAAAGAAACTTGGTTCCTATACCTCTAACTCTACTGCTTTCATGAAAGAGTTCCAGTATATCACCCAATCTATAGCCTCATCTTTCATGATATGTACATGGTTTTGACCAACAGCCTACTACCTGAGGAATGCAGATGAGTTTGGGAGTAGGCTAGTGCCCATGCAGATGTAGTTCACCAGACTAATGCAGTGCACCCTGCTGGGGCAGAGGCTGTTCCTGATCAGGAGCCCCATTGGGAGTACAATACTCCAGGGGGAATTCTAGCTAGAGATCAGTTTACAACCTGCCTCATGACTGGTCTCTGCTTGAGGTCCCTCAAGCCAGTAAACTATGATAAACTTCTGGAGATAGTTCAGGACAGACATGGAAAATCCCTCTCAGTTCCTAGAATGCCTTACAAAGGCCTTCTTACAGTTTATAAACCTGACCCTGAAAACCCAGAGGGAAGGCAACTCCTTATGACATATTTTTCCCCAAGAGTTCCCCTGACATTAGGGTTAAGCTTAGACATCTGGAGAGAGGACCTCTAACCCCACAGACAGAAGTCTTAATGGTGACTTTTAAAGTGTACTATGAGAGAGATGAGAAAGTCCTTAAACAAAAATACCAGATGCTGGCCAAGGCCATCTGACCAGCCACAGAGTCTGCCCAGGATCCCTTGCCTTCTGAGGCTCAAGGACTGCAGCATCCATGTTTTAAATGTGGTCAAGAGGGTCATTGGGTTCAAGCTTGCCCTAATCCCCATGCACCACTCAAACCATGTCCAAAATGCCATGAAGAGGGCCACTGGTCAGTAGATTGTCCTCATGTCCCTTATGGCAAGAGGACATCAGACACAGACAGCCCTCTAGCTGACTTCCTAGCCCTGGCCATGGATCACGATGAGTGCATGGGCCCGGGCTCTCTTGACCTGACCACCTGTCATCTCCAACAGGGAGCCCCTGGTGAACCTCAAGGTATCAGGGTGACCCATCTCCTTCCTCTTGGACACTGGTGCCACATACTCAGTCCTGAGGGAGTTTTGGGGACCCACCTCTCCTCATCTCCCTATGTTGGGGTAGGGGAACAGCCTTACCTTGATGGGAGATGTCATTCTATAAATGTTTCTCATACTGGTTAATGAATAAAGCACTGTTGGCCAATAGGAAAGGAAGATAGGAGGGACTAGGAGAGAAGGAGGAAAAAGGAAGTAGTAAGGAGAGTCAACATGGAGATGCTGGGGAGACCAGACGCAGGCCTCATTCCCCAGTAAGGTGAAAGCACGTGAAAATATTAGATTAACAGAAATGGGTTAATAATTAAGACAGAGCTAGCCGATAAGAAACAAGTAACTGGCCAACAGCGTTATATCAAATACAGAGTCTCAGTGTGTTAATTGGGGCTGGCACGGCAGTGGGACAAGACCAGCTGCGGGCGGAAAAACCCTACTCCTTACATTACCTACCTCATCAGACTCCACCACTCAATTGCATTTTCAGAGGAATTCCCCTCACTCATTTTTGATTATAGCTACCTGTCCTGTGTCCCTACTGGGAATGGATCTTTTAGCCAAGGTAGGAGCTTCTATTTACTTTGCTCCCCCCATTCACCTAACCCCAGACTTGTTAGTGGCTCCTCTCCTACTCCTCCTAGACACCCACCCTACTGGTTCCAATATGTCATTTCCTCTGCCAGCCTCTCAGGTATACCCCCCCCAAGTCTGGGACACCCAAAACCCTTCTGTAGTTAACACCATTCCCCCACTGTCATTCAGTTATAGGACCCCTTGAGGTAATCACCCAAGTCCAGGGCCCACTCCCACTCCAGAGCCTCAGAGGACTTAAACTTAAGGAAAAAGTTACTCTGTCCTACATCCTCTCCCTTCAGCACCCCTATACTAGCAGTTAAAAAACCTAATGGGACCTACCGCCTAGTTCAAGACCTCCGGCTCATTAACTCTGCAGTGGTCCCCCTCCATTCTATGGTGCCTAATCCTTACACACTTCTTTCCACTATCCCCTCAGGGACCTCTCATTTCTCAGTTTTGGATCTTAAGGATGCCCTTTCCTTTATCCCTCTCGTCATTCAGTCTCAAAATATCTTTGCTTTCACCTGGACTGACCCTGACCTCCACACAGCTCACCTGGACTGTTCTACCTCAGGGATTCAGGGATAGCCCACATCCATTTGGCCAGGCTCTGGCTTCTGACCTACTCTCTCTGTCTTTCCCAAAATCTAAAATCATACAGTTTGTAGATGATATTTTACTTTGCAACTCATCCTTAAAAGTTAGCCAAACTGATTCTAAATTTCTTGTCCAGCAGGGGTTATAGAGTCCCACCTTCCAAGGTCCAACATTCACACCTCAGGTCACCTACATGGGAATAACCATTACCCCAACTCATAAAGCTATTGCCTTAGACAGGACAAACCTAATCCAGTCTCTCACAGTTCCTTCTACTAAAGAGGAGATTTTATCATTTCTAGGAATAGCTGGCTTCTTACATTCCTGGATCCCTTCTTAATCTCTCCTTGCCATCCATTATATGAGGCAGCTCTTGGCTCTTCATATGAACCCCTCCTTAACAAACTCTACCTCCTTCCTGAGGTTCTTTCTCTACAGGTAGCACTAATAGAAGATGCCACACTTACTTTCCAATCCTGCCCACCCCTAAATATCTCAAATCTTCTACCTCAACTTGACACTAACTATTCCCCATCCCATTCCGGCATTGAAACTATAGAAGAGCTATTGCCCCATCCTTCACACATATGGGAGGGCACACTACCTCAGGCCACTTATACCTGGTACACAGATGGCAGCTCCTTTTTACATGAGGGGACCCATTGAGCGGGCTATGACATAGTGTCAGATACCAGGGTAGTGGAGGCATGGGCATTCCCTGCCCATACTATTAACCAGTAGGCTGAATTAATAGCTCTTACCTGTGCCTTCCAATCAGCACAGGGACAATCCCTAAATGTTTACACAGACTCCAAATATGTCTTTCACATCCTCCTGTCCCATGCTGCTATCTGGAATGAGCGTGGGCTACTTACTACAAAAGGAGGATCCATAACTAACTCAGGTCAAATTAAGGCCATGCTAAAGGTCTCCCAGCTACCCAAAGCTATATAGGGAGTATTCACTGCTGGTCTCATCAGACTGACATCTCCATTATCTTTAAGGGAAACAACCCGGCTGATGAAGCATCTAGGGCTACAACCCTTCGAGACTCAGACTCACCTCACCCACCGCAGGGAGTTCATACACTACAACCAACATCCTCACAGTCACCTCCTGACCCTGGACAAATTCTGTCCTATTCACACCAGCTCTTTCATCCTAACAGCACAGCTCTGTCTCGCTTTGTCAAGGCTCACCTCAGCCCACTCCTGAGCACTTGCATTTTTTAAAAACTATCACTGCTCTTGTAAAAGCTGTCAGATGTCAGACCCTAACTGCAGGTATTCCTACCCACCAAGCCAGGGACTCTCTCCCAGGGACTGACTGGAAACTTGGCTTTACCCACATGCCCACAGTCAGATGAGTCAAATATCTCCTGGTATTAGTTGATACCTTCTCAGGGTGCGCAGGTGCGCTTCCAACCACTAACAAAAAAGCCCAGACAATCTCTGACATCCTTCTCAGGAAAATTATTCCAGGTTGGAATTCCAGCTTCTCTTCAGTCAGACAATGGTCCTGAGTTCACCTCTCAGATCTCCCAAACCCTATCTAAAGCTCTCAACATCCCTTGGCATATCCCCTGTCATCCCCAGTCCTCAGGGAAGGTAGAGCGAACTAACCATTCCTTAAAAAACACTCTTGTTATAACAAGTGTCACAGGAATTTTACCTTGGCTGGTTAAAGCTCTTGCCTCTGGCTCTTTTCAGGCTTAGGGCTTTCCCCAAATGATCCCTTTTCATCTCACCCTTTGAACTCACGTAGGATGGAAAGTCACTGGAAGTGTAGCAACTCACAGACCTGCTTCAGGGAAAGCGTCTCCCTGATGTAACAACTCTGTTTCTCTAGGGGAAGGTTTCTTCCAAAGAAAGTGTTACAGTCCTGCTCTGCTCCACTCTGGCTCTGGTGGAAAAGTTGTTACTTCTTTGTTTCTCAACATTTTGACAAAAGAAAGTCTCATCCAAACCTCATCTTTTATTCCGAGGGAAGAATCCATGAGGGCGGCTACCTCTGCCAGGGTGGGTGGAG